ACAGAAGAGCTTATGTAGCACCCCTCCTATTGGGATGGTGTGAAATGACCCCCTAAGCAGTGTGGCAGGCTAACATTTAAATCTCAGTGTCAGGACTTTGGCTTATGTTAAGGCAAAAGATAACTTCAGTTCCAGTCACCGTAGTCTTTTTTACCTTGTATTGATGAAACTCAATTCAGAAAAGAGAGTTTAAGGGTTACCTGAAAAAAAAACGCAAAAATAGGGCAGGCATTCTGGAGTAACAGTGATAAGACTCTTTAGAGGCAGCCTCTAAGTAATTACTGGCCCTGTAAGAACAGTCATAGTCTTTCTGAAGTTGCAGTAGATCTACTAAATCTGGTTCTTGAGCCTTTTAGAATAGTTACCTTGATGTGTGGACAATGAATCGAATTTCTGAATTACATTCGGCTTGTCCCGAATGCGATTCCAGTCTGGGAGCCATATATATTACTAAAGCTAAGGCTCCCAGACCCGAATGGCATTCGGGACATGCCAAAATTATTTCGGAAATTCGGATCCCGAATCCCATTCGGGTCTAGGAGCCCCAGCTTTAGTATTATATGTACATACTGTATATAGCTCCCATGTTGCTGTAACAAAAATTAGTGTTCAGACCCATTCGGATGCATTAAACCTAAAAACGCATCTGATTGGCCAGAAAAGTCACATGTCCGATTCACGTTCGTTCTTGAATGAAATTTGGAAGGGATCCAAAATTCGGAAATGGAAATTCGGATTTGGACACATCCGGATGCATTGGGATTCGGAAATTCGGATATGTCCGAATGTCCGTACCGCGGAAAAATTGTCTGAATTTTGATGCGGAACGAAATGAATCGCACATGTCTAAATGTTATCTTCTCATGATTATTGTTATACAGGATTTATATAGCGCCAACAGTTTGCACAGCCTTAACTTACCTTTATATTTGTCTTTAAATATATGAAAACATAATATTACAAAATGAAATATAGATGATCTGATTGCCTTTGCCTATATAAAAAATTAGAAAGGAATATACAAAAAATATATACTGTAGACAAATGATAGGTTCTTTTGTACCAGAATTTGAAGGATAAAATGTGTCCATTTGTATGTCTTTCAGAGTTGTGAGTATACAAAATAATAAAGTGGGGGAAAAAACTTGACAGTTATTATCTATAAAAGAACTAATCTTATATCTCTATAGGTACATGGCCAAATAGAAGATTAAAACTAAAGCCCGGCATGCAGGGTACTTCTCTCAAAATACAGCTGGCAAAAGTGCATAAAGGAAGGGTTCGAATGGTTCTGAACATTATCTTAAAATGAGAAATAAGTCCTTTTGTTTTAGAGATATGTGATGGAAATTAGACATGTAGATACCTTGTGTTTTAAAAAGGCTCAATTGTACATCTCAAAAATCATGCATAATACACAGTACACAGCTAAACATGATAATCCTGCGGTTATGACCACATAATGGCTTAAAAATGTGATTGCATGATAAAGATGTTTTTCAAACCAGGAACACTAGATGGAGCCATTGCAACATAGAGTGGGATACAGTTGTTAGTGTTGGACAAAAGTGAAAATTGTGAAATTTCATAAGAGGGACAAAGGCCAACCCATTATTTAAAATCTCCTTCTTGACTTAAATTGGTATTCTTTAAAATGTAATTTGCTGTGTTTGCTAAATAAGCACCACATATTTTCAGGTCTGCCTATTGTAAACTTTTTGTTATTTCTCAGAGCGGGAGAGGAATATAAAGAGAAACTAGAATACCTTCCAGATGGATATATGAAAGCCTTTTGGTTAAATAACTATTTCTGAGGTTAGCACAATAGTGACATTTCTTGTTCACATAGAGGCTGATTAACTAAAGGAAAAAACTGTATATTCCCTGGAGCTCTGATGTACTAAGTATATACCTTTATATATAATTGGGGCTGGTCATCAAGGTCATGTAACCAAAATTAGTAAGAGCAAAAAAAAAGGGGGGTAACAGTGTTCCAAGTAGGAAGCGCTGTAAGAAGTGGTTACTGAATAGACCGAGACCAGTAATTTCTTATAAAAGTATAAACTTTATTAAGATACAGAAACATCAATACCCAATAACACCGCTTCTCAATAGTTTCGTAAAAGAACAAGCTGTTCATAGCACTCATACATTCATTCATTCATCCTATGGACCCCACAATCTACGGCAAAAAAATATTTAAGGTTCAAAGGAGGGAATACTCCCAATTCAACACCTGGTTCCTATCGGTAATTATGCCCCTACTAGGCGATGATGTTGGATCACAGAAATGAATGTTACAGATCTACTCTGAGATGTAACCGTAACCAGTTTTTCTTGCAAGTGATACATCCGATAATATAATAGGTGAAATCTGTTTGTTGATTATTGAAGAAAGGAAGTCTCTATGATTAATGCGGCTTGAGGATGATATAATCCACTGAGATCGTGTATATATTCATTAGCCTCCGTGTGCCGACACCTTTCGTAGATCTGTTTTCTAAGAAGTATCATTCACTTTACTTTCTGAGTTATTCAAACTTTCCCATATCAGTAAATTCCTCCTGATGTTAGATGTATTCAAGGGGGAGACCTGTGCAAGACCATTTAGTACTATTTGGTGATCAGCTGTACTCACAGTTAGTTGTCTCGTACCCCACCTTTGTGGATCTGGGAAGTCCTGTGGTTCACCACTGCCGCCGGTAATTAATTTATCTGTGGCTACTTTAGATCCCAGGGTCCGCGGATACTTCGGGGAGGTTTTTTGGGGAGTTTCGATCTAGTTCATAGCTCAGAGGGCATGTAGTTTTCCATCATAGTTGTTAGGGGATCAAAAAAAATCCGTAAGGAAGCTGCCGTCTGTGCCGGTCACATAGTGTTTGTATCATACACTCAAGGGTAGACCCGTTTTGCCCCGCCCATCGGAGCTTCGTCAGAACCTTCTGTTCTGTTTAGCCACGGATAAATTAATTACCGGCGGCAGTGCTGAACCACAGGAATTCCCATATCCACAAAGGTGGAGCCAGCTTCCTGATCAATCATATCTCAATGCTGTTTGGCTGGCTCAATTCTGATTGGCTGGGAAACCGGCTTCCCAGCCAATCAGTATTGAGCCGGCCAAACAGCATGGCGGCTGGTAATGACCTGCCTCACCACTACTGATTGGCCCGGGAAGCCGGCTTCCCGGCCAATCAGCAATGGGCTGGCTAATCAGCATGGAGCCGGCTTCTCTGAGAATCAGGAGGCTGGGCGGTGTGTAATGACCCAATGCCCGGCTTACTAATTGGCCGGGAAGGCGGCTCCATTCTCCCAGAAGTACAGGTATTGGTATTCAGTATCGGCGAGTACCCAAAGATAAATATCGGTTCTCGAACTCGATACCAAAAATTCGGTATCGGTGCATCCCTAGTTTTTACATTTAGTAGTAGGTGAGTACCACTTTGCAAATGTTGACTGTTACAGCTATCTGTAAATGCATGAAAATATGTCTTTTGAGCGCAAAGTATTCTTGTGATTTTTTAAAATCTTTTTACATAAGATGAAATGATGGACATTTAAACCAACTCTGTAACCTGTAAATATCTAACTCGTATGTACCTGAACATAAGTCATTTTGTGTCAGGCATTTCAAATGCAAAGATAGCACATTTTGATTGTGAAAGTGAACAACATGTATTTGTCAAATAAAGACACTGAGCAAAAGCATGTAAAGCTCTGGTGAGTGCTTTTTTGTAAGCATACATTAACAAAGGCAACTCACAAAAAGAACACAGTAATGAATACAGCTATACTATACATTTTACTTAGCAAACAGAAAATGTTGCTTCTTTAAAGATCTGCTGAATCCAGCAAATGGGCAATGTATATAAAGCACATATAAATCTCACTCACAAGCACCTAGCTCCAATAGAACAACTCAGTCCATCATGGGAAAGGTAAGACTTGTTGGAAATCATTCCAACTGATTGATGAAATATATACTTTATATGAACTATGAACTATACGTTATGAACTATACAGTTTTAAAGCTGAATACTAATCTTTCGTAGCATAAATAATACCCATGTCCTTGGCTGGTCACACTATTTTAACGTTTGTTAGCGGCTTTGGAGCTTTCATCCTGAGCTATCTACCAGCCATGGTTTTTATTTATTTCCCAGTTTTGAGAAGCCAAATTATTTAGGTTGTTGTAAAAAATCCAAACAGAAATTAAAATGGCTTTAATTTGGATCTGCAGTGGTGTGAAAAAAATGCTGTTGCGTGGGCATCAGTGGGAGAAAGAAATGATGTTGCATTGGTAGTGTCAGCCTGAGGAGGACTGCCTTTGGCTATGTGATGAAGGAGGAAAAGACAATTGGGAGTGGGGGGTGGGGTGGTTCTCTGTGGGGGACATTGAACTAAGGGGTCCTATGCGGCTCTATAAAAGGGAGGGGGGATGAAGGGATCTAAGGGAGGTGGTGGGCTGAAGAGCTATTCAAGGCTTAACTACTGATTGGCCCGGGAAGCCGGCTTCCCGGCCAATCAGCAATGGGCTGGCTAATCAGCATGGAGCCGGCTTCTCTGAGAATCAGGAGGCTGGGCGGTGTGTAATGACCCAATGCCCGGCTTACTAATTGGCCGGGAAGGCGGCTCCATTCTCCCAGAAGTACAGGTATTGGTATTCAGTATCGGCGAGTACCCAAAGATAAATATCGGTTCTCGAACTCGATACCAAAAATTCGGTATCGGTGCATCCCTAGTTTTTACATTTAGTAGTAGGTGAGTACCACTTTGCAAATGTTGACTGTTACAGCTATCTGTAAATGCATGAAAATATGTCTTTTGAGCGCAAAGTATTCTTGTGATTTTTTAAAATCTTTTTACATAAGATGAAATGATGGACATTTAAACCAACTCTGTAACCTGTAAATATCTAACTCGTATGTACCTGAACATAAGTCATTTTGTGTCAGGCATTTCAAATGCAAAGATAGCACATTTTGATTGTGAAAGTGAACAACATGTATTTGTCAAATAAAGACACTGAGCAAAAGCATGTAAAGCTCTGGTGAGTGCTTTTTTGTAAGCATACATTAACAAAGGCAACTCACAAAAAGAACACAGTAATGAATACAGCTATACTATACATTTTACTTAGCAAACAGAAAATGTTGCTTCTTTAAAGATCTGCTGAATCCAGCAAATGGGCAATGTATATAAAGCACATATAAATCTCACTCACAAGCACCTAGCTCCAATAGAACAACTCAGTCCATCATGGGAAAGGTAAGACTTGTTGGAAATCATTCCAACTGATTGATGAAATATATACTTTATATGAACTATGAACTATACGTTATGAACTATACAGTTTTAAAGCTGAATACTAATCTTTCGTAGCATAAATAATACCCATGTCCTTGGCTGGTCACACTATTTTAACGTTTGTTAGCGGCTTTGGAGCTTTCATCCTGAGCTATCTACCAGCCATGGTTTTTATTTATTTCCCAGTTTTGAGAAGCCAAATTATTTAGGTTGTTGTAAAAAATCCAAACAGAAATTAAAATGGCTTTAATTTGGATCTGCAGTGGTGTGAAAAAAATGCTGTTGCGTGGGCATCAGTGGGAGAAAGAAATGATGTTGCATTGGTAGTGTCAGCCTGAGGAGGACTGCCTTTGGCTATGTGATGAAGGAGGAAAAGACAATTGGGAGTGGGGGGTGGGGTGGTTCTCTGTGGGGGACATTGAACTAAGGGGTCCTATGCGGCTCTATAAAAGGGAGGGGGGATGAAGGGATCTAAGGGAGGTGGTGGGCTGAAGAGCTATTCAAGGCTTTCAAGAGTTGCTCACCCCACCCTCCATGTACTCACAATCCAGACCTCCTTTCATTGGCGTGCCTGCCCAGGAATGAAGGGCACTTCTACCTCTTCCTGTCTCTGGTCATGTGATCTGTCACATGACAAGGGGAGACAGGGCAGTCACTCCCCAGTCCTGCACCCGTATTGAGAGAAAGCAAGAACAGAATCCTCCCTCAAGCAGCTATCCCTGACAATGCGGTCACTCCTGTCAATAAGCAAGCAGCCAGAGAACTGATCACTGTCTCAGGAGAGCTGGTTACAAGGAAAAAAGCTGGCAATCCCTAGGTGAAAGCCAGCAAGTTTCCAGGTATGCCAATATTTTAGACTTGTTCCCTTTAAAACCTAAATGATGGCATGCGTATACTGTAGTAGCATGAAGCATAGGTGGATTAAAACCAGATTTGCTAATGAAAAAAATATACAAAGTTGTGAAATTCACAGTTCAGTCATAGTGTTTGGAGTCTTACTCAGTAAACTGGTGCAAAGAGATATTATGACCTGCAGAGTACAGTTAGGCTGCCTTTAAACCTTAGCAATTAAAAATACAGGCACAATATAACCACGCTCAGGGCAAAAAATCATCCATGTGCGTCAAATCACTCCATAAACGTCCACGGTCAGTTCTACGAAACTTACAAGTATATTTCAGTGTAGATGGTAGAAGGGAAGACCTCATGAATGAAGCACACAATCACAACAAGTTTTGTGGTATAGTTTCTGCTGACCCATTTTTACAGTAGTCCTTAATCTAAAAAGCAGGTAACCCCAGGTGTACCCTAGAATCCCAAAACACAAGGTGCTAGCTATATGGATGATAGATCAGCCACAAATTTGCTTTTGGACATTTTTGTAGCCACATCTATGAAATAATTATGATTTATTGCTATGGTTAACCCCATGTTGGAGTTTGGTCTTTCTTCCTTTGAATAATAAGTACCTGACTAAGCCAGGAGTTCGTGAGTTTAACCTAATTTCTAATTGATTTAGCTGACTGATAACAACCAGAAAATCTATTTCACTAGTTTTTTAATTTCATAGTTAATGCCACAGCATAATATTTAATTTTACAGAAATCACTGAGGCAAACATATGGTTTTTCACAGTATATTACGTTATAAGTGAAATCAAGTAGTATTAAATGCGTCCAACCATTTGGGGGGCAATAAGGTGCCTTATTGTCACACATATTGCCATTTTCTTCATAATAATAATAATTACTGGCCATGGGAAAGCAGGGGGCGCCAGTGACACTGAATTCACTGAATTATACAGCCTTATACTACTGACTCTTCACACTCCAGGGTTCTCCCAGCAGCTATAACAACCATGATTCTCTGGTATGCAGTCATCTTCTCTCCTTTCTTTGTAGGCTGTACTCTGGAGGCGGTGTAGCATTAGGTGAGATGCACTTTGCTATCAGGAGAGAAGATCTGAGGATCAGAGCCACCAGGAGACTAGGGGAAAAGTAAGGAGCCAGTTTCATGAGGCTGCAAGCTTCAGTGAAGCTCTGTGATTGGCTTCTTTCAGATTCATGACAGCTTAGTCTGTGGCATGGTGTTAACTGCTTTTCTCAAAGATGCAGTGGGCACAGAAGGATGCTATCTTCCTTTTTGCTGCTGGGCTCCCTAGCAGACTTTTGGGTAGTCAGTAATTCCTGGTCAGGCCACTCTGCGTGTGGGGACTAGGCAGGTACCTAAGTAACAAGGAACAAAAGAAAGCGCCTCCATAGTTTAAAAGAGTGATTTAATAATACAAACACGCAGTTCTAAGGCTGTACTTATAACAATTCAGTTGAATAAAAACCAGTAGAGTAGGATGAGAAGTCGGAACCTCTGGCAGGGAGATTCTGGAGTGATAGAATTCACCAGCGTCCTCTATCCCTGTGTTAGCAAAAGGTTTACGCGTTTCTGGGGCACGCCCCTTCATCAGAACCTATCATCATAGGTTCTGATAAAGACTCTACCTGCCATAGGTTCCGACTTCTCATCCTACTCTACTGTTTTTTATTGTTGTAAGTACAGCCTTAGAGCTGCGTGTTTTTATTATTAAATCACTCTTTTACACTATGGAGGCGCTTTCTTTTGTTCCTTGTTTCTTAGACTGGTGATCAATCTGGCCTATGGGAGCTGCCTCTTTCGTGCTTGCTGCATCCAATTGCTGGGCACCCTGTAATTGAAGACACCGGTATTTTTTTGTCAGGTACCTAAATAGCCTTAATGGTAATCCAGCTCTGGATCAGGATCATAGCTCCAGAACCTGCACTTTCAAGAAGTCACCAATTATATCCATATTTCCATTCTGATAGGTACCTTATCAGCTGGCTCACCACAATCAATTGTTTACAGTGTACTAAGTGTAGGCTAAATGCTAAATATATGGAAATACAGTGTCAAAAGGTAATGTTGGCCACACACACAGGAATTTGCTTTTCACACGATAGGATAATAAAAGTGAATATTCCCAAAATGTATTGTGTGAAAATTCTAACCTCTTTAGTAAATTAGTCTCAAAATCTGACTATCATGCAGTGTTGGCAGAATTAGCAGGCATATTTATAAAGCAGTGAACATGATATTCACCAAACATTCACTGTAAATCAACCACTGTAATTTAAAACACATGCACAGGGAAGATTCACCTGCAGTGAATATTTTGTTAATGTTATATTTACTGCTTTATAAAGAAAACCAAAAATAAAACAGGAGATTAAATACCAACACATTTGAAGTGTACATGTGGGAACTACATTGCGGACATTTGTAACTGCCTAACTTAGACAGATATACATCTCAGTGCTACCTTCTAAGAACAGAGATGGCACTTAAATACAAAAACACTATTTAAAGAATTCCATAAACACATGTAAAGATAAGTTACCTTTATTATTCTGCTATATTAAATAATAAATAAATCATACAATAGCCTAAATAATGATTATTTTAAAGGAATGGTCCTTCCATAAATGATTTGGCATAATACTGTAGATGATGGCTGGTGGACATAACCATTCAATGGCTTCTTACAGGTGTTGTAAACTTCACTTCAAGTTCACTGTTTCCTTATTCCTGTGTTTCTTCATGCCCACAATGGAGTTGTGGATGCTCCTTTCTACCTTGGGGTGTTTGAACACCTGTTATTTCTCAAGAATATATGAAATATCCAGCAGAAAATTTGAACACCCTCATAATGACCACAGCAGGATATGCAGACTTTGGAAATTATTCCAAGAGATATAATAAACTATCAGTTGGTTAAACTCACCAGCCTCTAGTGGAAACTGAAATATTACTTACATGCTCATATGTGTATGTTTAAAATATTAAAAAGGCTGAATTTATTTAACAAAGGCAAAAATCTGATGATCAATACTATAAATGACATTGTATCCTACACAGATTCACTGAAATGTTTACATTTTCTTTCTTTCACAGATCATCTTCTATGAAGACAAGAACTTTCAGGGCCGCTCCTATGAGTGCAGCGCTGACTGTTCTGACCTGTCCTCATATTTCAATCGTTGTAACTCCATCCGTGTAGAGAATGGTAACTGGATTCTCTATGAGCATGCTAACTACAAAGGCTATCAATACTACCTGAGAAGAGGAGACTATCCCGATTTCCAGCAGTGGATGGGCTTCAATGACTCCATCAGATCCTGCCACCTTACAACTCAAGTATGTGTATTCAGTGTTAACACATTAAATAATTAATTATATCCTTGCTGAAGTGGCTTGCTTTGCTTTCCATTTTTTAATTATCAATCTTCTCAACAAAACTGAACTTCTCCTTTTCCTTTTTTTTCACAGCACCGTGGTCCTTTTATCCTTAAATTGTATGAGAAAGAAGATTTCAAAGGTCAGATGATGGAGTTCACAGAAGACTGTCAATGTGTCTATGAGAAGTTCCGTTACCATGATATTCACTCCTGCAATATCCTTGATGGTCACTGGATGTTCTATGAGGAGCCAAACTACAAGGGACGTCAGTACTACCTGAAGCCTGGAGAGTACAGGAAATACACTAACTGGGGAGCCAACAGCTCCAGAGTTGGTTCTTTCAGGCGTGTCCAGCTTCTTTATTAAACAATACATAGCAGGTGCTTTGTTCAGGAATCCTCCATTAAATTTCCCTGCTAGAAACAAAAATGTGCCTTTTGTCTTATTTATATGTTTTCTATTTTATTTTTCATTTGAATCAAAAGCAAGGCTTTAAATATGTCTTAAAGTGTTGTATAATTTATAACTTAATTATGTGATTTGGAACATAAACTATATATTTTTGAGTATTTATTTAAATTTATAGATAGTTCATTTGCTGTCTAAAAACGACCATTATTTTATTCAAAGGCGGCTAATAATAGTAAGTGCACTTTTCAGTTCGATCACTGCCCTTGCACACTTCAGCAAAAATTACCAAACTTTACAAACCACACAATTTTTAAGCATGTGTGGGAGTTCAGCAGAGAAAAATATAGCAAAATACATAAACATTGCTGGAGTAGCCAACGGCAGTATACTATCCATAAGTTTGCATCTAGGGTTTTCAAAGTCTGGTACAATTTGATGGGGGATTATGGGGAAAGGCCGTTTTTTTTTTTAAAGAGACACTGTCACTTTGTGCCACTTTGGCAAATCAAGTCAATGTGACAGTGTCTGCAGATAGCTTACCCCCAGGCTTTTATACTTACCGGGCTACCATCCCCTTCCACCTTCCCACTACATAGTCCCAGCTTGTCTAAGCTCTATAATTGGAAGCTCTGATGCATTACTGAGGGCTGATGTAGTGTAGAAAGTCATTATGGGAGTGTGGCTCTGCATGTATACCCATCTGAGGGATGAGCTATCTAAAAACACTCTCACTTTGCCCTAAATGAGCAAAGTGAATTGTCTCTTTATGTACACTTATTGCTTAAATATGTAAAAGCCAATTACAACATGTTATTCAAAGACTCCTATCCTGGGCACCATTTTAGCAAAAATACATGAATAAAATAGCTCAACAGACAGTCTTAATTTAGTTTACATGAATATATCATGGTAATTCTAGCCATATTCTAACAAGCCACCTAGAAGGTTGATGACTTTCAAAATGTTGTCTTTCTTCCTCTGGCTTCAGTACTTTCTGAGTCATAACCCGGGACAAGTATGTAGCCAGAGAACTTGTATCAGGTCAGTAACGTGGAAAATGTTGAAGCCATTGGAACAGCCTGACAGCAAGACAGCTAACATTTCAAGAAAAGAGAAAGAGCAATAGCAGCCAACATTTTCATTCTAGCACAGGTTTCCCTTAGGCTAGGTTCACACCCAGGCGTACGGAATATGCGCGTTTGCCGCGCGTTTCGTGCCGAGAGTGATTTGCGGTAAAAACACACGTGACAAACGCGCGTTTCTGAGGGCTATCCGGCTGTATCCCCAAAGAAGCTCCTGTACTTCTTTGGGCGTAGGGCGTTTTGCAGCGCGTTCCTACGCGCTGTAAAACGCCCAGGTGGGAACCATGCCCATAGGCAATCATTGGTTTTCACATGTTGAACGGTTTACAGCGCGTAGGAACGCACTGGAAAACGCCCAGGTGTGAACCGGGCCTTAATGTAAGAAGATGTTTAAAACACTTCTATGTGTAGTTACTTCACATGAAAATGGTGTCTTTGCTTTAACTGATAACACACTATCATGACTACAAAACAGATGTATAATAATATACTATATCTTCTTTTCTCACAAAATAATTTTTTTAAATCAAGAACAGTATTAGGCAACAAGTGAAATCAGTCACAAATGCTATCAAGGGAACAACTGCAAGTGTGCAATAAAGTGGGCAACAATTCACCAGACATATCTTTTTTGAACCTGCAAAAAGAGAGCCACACATCACATAAACTGTCATTATCCATGAATTAAGTTAAAATAGAGCCAGCCAATTACATTCTCTGCCTAAGTACAGCTAATTGATTAACCACTTCAGGACCGCAATACATAACTATACAGCGGGCCACAGAAGTGGTTATACCAAGAACACAGCTGTAGCAGTCATGTTCGTTGTGTCATTTTAAACAGCCGATGATGGCTGTTAAAGGAGAACTATGAGGTGAGTGCTTTTCACTCACCTCATAGTTCTAGCCGACCTGTGACAATGAGACTGTCACAGGTCAGCTCAATAGATCGGGAGGTGAGCGAACACATACCGGCATTCGTTCACCTCTCGATCCTGTCACGGCTCTCTGCCGTAACAGGGGAGGGGCTGGATTCCCGGCTCCCTGCTCCGATCCGCCAGCGCTGACTGGCGGAACGGATGGGGGAGGGGGCGGGTACAGCTGGCTCTGCCTCTAGATAGGCAGAGCCAGCTGTCAGTCACACAGCTGGGCGGATCCCGGCACAATTGTCAGGATCCGCTTCAGCTGAGGCGTCTCAGTATACCGCGAGCCACAGCTCGCGGTATACTGAGCCTAGGGTGACGGGAGGACGCAAGTTTGTGTCCTCCTGTTACCCTAAGGAGAACTATGGGGAAAAGCCTTAACCCCATAGTTCTCCTTTAAGATACAAGTGATCCAGCATGTATACAGCCACTGGATAGTTTGTACCAAAAGGTGGAACGTGCTGCCCCCTCCGCCGCTGCTGGCTTTCCCGGGGCCCCGGTGTCCTCCATGTGGGCCTGGGATCAGCACGGCGGGTCTCCCCACAATGATCGGAGAGAGATACAGCAGCTTCGATGTCACTGTTTACATTCTCTAATCTAATCTTTAATGTAAAAATTCAGATTTTATTATCTGTGTGCAAATAGTAAGACATTGCTCCGGACAGCAAGTGGTTAAAAACAAAAAAAAGTTTTTAACGTGAAAGCAAAAAATTCAACTTTCCTGCAAATCCTAATTGGCAGGAAAGGTCCCACTGGTCAGTTGTTTGCATACTTTTAAAAAGTAGCTCTGACCTTTTTGGTTTGAAACAGCTCCACCCTGGAAGCTTATGCTGCAGCTTCAGTGCTGCTTTTTTAGGATCGGCAAAGTGGTCATTACCGGGGTACCAAATTGGGGAAAATCTTACAGGTCCACATCAAAGGAAAGTGAAAGTATTTTCCTCTTTCTTGTTGAAAATAAAAAAAAACATAATGTTCATTTAGACCAACAATGTTTAGAATACAAAACCAATGTAATTTCACTCTCTGTTGACTGTTTTTGGAAATCCACATTGTTTAATGATCAGTCATGTGATAGAAAATCATCAGCAATGCCAAGAACCTAAGGACAAAAGCTTACTACAGTGTTATACAGATTTAAAAAAAACAGTCTGGATAAACAGATTAAATAAACTGGCCAATACTGTTTCTAGAAATAGGAGAAAAATCCTTTGTTTTGCATTTGCTGATGAAGCAATGAACAACTTTAAATAGTAGCTGCTATCTCACTTATCACAGACCACTGAAGCTTTCAGACAGTGAAAATGGGAAAGGTAAGAATTTATATATTTTAGAGATAATCTGTAAACCTTTATATGAACAATAATTTTTCCTTATAATATTTTAGTCAATGCACAAATTAAAGCATAAAATACTAACAAACATTATACGATCATTAGATGCATATCTTTATTATCTCTTGCAACAAAATCCTTTTGTTTATTGGTACATTCTTTTGCATGGCGACATAATAGATAACCGGTTATTATATTCTTTTTTTAATCTATTACCAACAATGAATAATTATTCCATTACAATTAGTCAATTACTGTAACTTAAAAATTAAGAATCACCAATCTTTATAATGGGATTTAAAAGGCGCTTATAACACAATTTTTAAGTAAAAAACACAATTTTATTAATACATTATATAAAAACTTGGCAATCTAAAAACATCTTTCATGTCCCCCTTGTATTTATGCATGTGAGAACGGGACCTTAGATTGTAAGCTCCTTGAGAGCAGGGACTGATGTGAATGTAAAGTGCTGCATAAATTGTCGGCGCTATATCAATACTAATAATACATTAATTAAACAATTAATCAACAAATATAAAAAACAACAAACAATTCAGATTAATTATAGAAAATGTAACATAATATAACATATTAGCACAGGTGATTTGTTGAACCAACTCCAGCATTCATCTTCTTACATAAGACATGATATTATATAAGTAACTTAAGGATACCCTTTAGGATATTCAAACTAAAAAATATATATATATTTGACTTTATTATCTTTTGTAACTCTCACTATTACATTCCATTGTAGCAAACAAACATTTCACAGTCAACATCTGTTAGATATTAAGATTATATATGATCATTTTTATTAATTTTTACAATGAGGGTCTGAACATTTTTATTGATCTCAACATCCTTTAGCATTGATATGAAAAGTTAGACGGACTGTTGAGAATCATGGCTAACTATAGCTTATATTTCAGCTACATTTTATTTAATGTCCCAGATGTTGGTAGTAGAAGCACTGACCTTAGGAGTTGTTTTACTAAAGAAATTCTAAGAATAAATATAATGTATAAATCATAACAGCCAAAAGATTTTGTGAAGTCAAATGATAAAAAAAGGTCAAATTGATATGAGTTATTCCCCTTTGTTTATTCCTTTTTGCCCTATTGAATAAGCCTTTTCAAGAAAATTACAATGTCTTGTCAATAATTAAAAGAGACAAACTTAACGTGTATGTATAGTCAAAACACTATTTTTTAGGCTTGGATAGAGTAAAGAAGCATTAAAAACCATCAGTTGATAATTGCTGTTTGTGTTCCATAGGGAGGATTCAACTTCCTCTTCCTTTCCTGGAGATGCAACAGAAAGTGAGAGTAAATATCTACAAAGTGTGGGGGATTCCCCTGTTAGACAGTTGTCAGCAGAGGCAGGTGTCCCCATGAGAAGATTTACTCATATCTCTGCTCTGGTGACAATTCAAAAATGTTGGATTTCCTATCACTTCCCTTCACTTCTCCATGAAAAATGTCAAATGACAGACAGAGAGGGTAAATCTACTTTGCTGAGACAGCAAAAAAAAGCAAAAGAAAGGTTAACTAATAGCAATTTGAGTATGCACACCTATTGTCAATCTGCATGATAAATATTTATTTATAATATATACTTTTTACAAACTTGCCTGATCTCAGTAAAATCTCATATTATAGCATATACAGCAATATAGGCAGCAGCTATTCTTTGTTCTTGGGGAGCATACTAGTTTCTGAACAGTTATCTTACAAGTATTTAGCTATACTGACACAACTCGGGTTTAGCATAGTGTCATGGAGTCACCATGGCCACTGGATGATGAAAGAAACAGCTGTGCTCATTTATGACACATTCAAACTGGATAATAATAGACCCTAAAAAAATGTAGGAAGACACGAACTAGTAAAAATAAGTTTTAGGGCAAACATAATTGCTATGGGGTCTATTTAATAATCTTTTCTCCCAGTAGCCACGCAATTTGCACCCAAGATTCACACACTTCCACTGCCACTGAGGATTTGATTAGAAAGATGTGTGAACCTTTGGTGAAAGTTGTGTGAATCCAGGGGAAAATGGACAGTTTTGGTGAAACAATTGTAGTAATCGGCATATGTGGCTATGCACAGTCATCACAATATTTGGTTAACACACTGGCAACCATGATAGTACATAAATACTAAATGTGGGCAACACAATGACAAGTATTAGTTAGTACCAAAAACATCTAAAGATTTGCTCCCTACAATAGAAGATTGTAAATACTTACTTCTCTGGTGGGGGGGGGGGGGGGGTTTGACCCCTGTACCCT